CTACTACCCAGCCCAAGTTCTCCTCTTCCGCAAAACCCACACCCCACAGAAACTCCTCTGCCCATTTGCACTTTCACTACTTACCCGCTCCAAAAACTCCAGACTTAACCAATAAGTTGGGCAAGGATGAAAAACTCATCCCGGAGGAACGCAAACATTGTTTTGACAGCAACCTCTGTCTGTTCTGCGGACAAGCCGGTAACAACACAAAGTTGTGCCCTAAGTCCTCCTCCAGTGCTGCAAAAGCTTGTGCCACCGCAGCAGTTCCTCTGCGCTCTGCATGGGTTGAGGACTGTGTTGATTCTGACCATGCACTAACAGAGATATGTCTCAATGTGTCTGCTCTTTCTGATACCAATTTTCTCTACATATCCCTTACCTCCAAATCTCTTCCAAACACTTCCCTTAAAGTTTTAGTAGACTCTGGATCATCACATTGTTTTGTAGACACCACTTTTATGAATGCTAGTCAACTTTCCCCCTATACCATTACTCTGATCCAACTCCACTTATTTGATGGAACATTGAACTCCACCATCACTAAGGCAGTAGACCCAACTGTCCATTTTCCCTGTGGAAAAGTCACTCCAACAACCTTCTATGTCACCTCGTTGGATTTATCCTGCTCTGCAGTTCTGGGATACCATTGGCTCACCTGCTACAATCTGTCAATTGACTGGGTACTGAACAATATCTCATTCTGTTCTTCGGAGACCTTGATTGCCCAACTGATGTCAACTCCAATCTTTGACCCCTTGTCTCCGCACGTGTCCTTTATAAATGCAGTTGCCTTTTACCGGGCTTGCAAACTCCAAGGATCCACCCATTTTACTATGCATTTATCCCAACTCCGGGATTCCTCCACTACTCCAGAATTTGTGGATCTATCGTCAGTCCCCTCCAAATACCATGATTTTGAAAGTGTTTTCAGCAAGGCCAAAGCAGACAAGCTCCTACTACACCGTCTATTTGATTTAAAAACTGACTTGGACAAAGGAGCTTCTCCCCCACTTTCCCCTATCTACTTGTTATCATAAATGGAGCTGGAAACTCTCTTCATATTTGTGGAAAAAAACCTGGCCAACAGAATTATATGTCCCTCCTCCTCTAAACACAGAGCCTTGGTGCTCTTTCTACAGAAGAAGGACGGTTCCCTCAAGCTCTGTGTAGACTTCTAAGGGCTAAACAAGATCACAAAGAAGGATTGCTATCCACTCCCCTGCATCTCCAATCTTCTATACTAAGCTTGACCTCCGGCATGCCTATCATCTAATCCGGATTGCTGATGGGGATGAGTTGAAAACTGCATTTTGAACCCACTATGGCTCTTACAAATGGTTAATGATGCCCATTGGGCTTACCAACACCCCTGCAGCTTTTCAGTGTTTCATCAACACAATATTTGCTGACCTCCTTGATGTCTGCATTATTGTCTATCTCAATGATGTCCTCATATTCTCCAATAACTCTGAGGAGCACATAGCACATGTCCGGGAGGTACTCCAGCGGCTTTGTGCCAATGGGTTGTATGCACACCCCAACAAATTTTCTTTCATACTATCTCCATCAAATACCTTGATTTTCTCCTCTCTCCAAAAGGCCTCACAATGTCCAACAATAAAGTCCAAACCATCCGAGACTGTCCCGAACCATGCAAAATTAAGGATGTCAGTTTTTTCTGGAGTTGTTAGAACTGTGACCTTATAGAGTGTCAGAGTTACAGAGTACGGAGATGGGGTAGGGGACTACAAGATGGGGAATTGGCTTAGCTTGTGCACTAGGCCCTTCTGTGGACCTTCGTCCCTAACTCAACAGGATGGACAGAGGAGAGTAGAGGATGAAAAGGAAGCAGAGTAAAGATCCTTCGGAGAAGGATCAGAAAGACTTAGAAAGGGACTTGTAAAAAGGCGAGGGAATCTAGTTGATATTTGAACTGCAGGAATGGACTATAGGAGCTACAACTTATATACTGTCGGAGGAGTAGGAGCTCATAAGGAATAACTTGTAATGTAGGTACAAAGTTCTATACAGACAATTATTTAGCAAGGGAGAAATGTATGTGCAAGGAGTGTATCATAAGGTCTAAACTACAGAGTCCATGAGGAGTAC